TATTGAGGACACGCTAAATTTTTTTTTTTTGATACAAGAAAAAAAATTATCTTGTGAAAAGGAGATAATTACATTGTGAAAACGAGATATTATCTTGTGAAATAAGGATTTGGAAATAACGAACAGTATTCAATCTCAACGTCCATTAAACAAATATACAAAACAAGAGCAGAGCAAACACGGACCTCCGGAACATCAGAGGTGGGATCAGGTGCCATGGAGGAGTGAGCATCCCCTGCTGACCGGTCACACCCGCCGTGTGCTCATTGTCATAATCAGGAAATAACGGAAAAAATCCGTAGTCAATTCAGTGTATAAATAATGGACTAACAATTGGTATGAAAAACGTCAGTCAGCATTTCATTCAATGATAAATCGTATTTGCTGACAAGGTCATTGTATCGACCATAGAATTTACGAAATGATGACTTTAAACGAGACTGTTGATATTCTTGTTTCATCAACTTGCTTGTCAATAATTTACCTCGTTTAAGAAATTGTTCATACGTAGAGCATGCTCTTGCGTATCGAATCAACTGAGATATAAATACTCCGTATGCAGGTGATGAAGGTATATTGCTGCATAAGTAAGGGAAGTTGACGATAGAAAAGTTAAAGTCATCACGTTTATCATATAGCTTGGTTGTTAGATTACCATTTGTGTCTTTTTCAAGTAAAATATCCAAGTATGAAGCAGATGTGTTGGACTCTGTGGTATCTTTTATCTCAAGCTCACCAGGATATATCGTGTCGACGTAGGAATGGAAATTATCATTATTAATTGACAATACGTCGTCGATATATCTAAATGTCGAGTTGAAAGCCACAGCAAGTGTTTTTTTTCTTTTCACGCAAAAGATTTTGCATAAATTCTGCTTCATATGAATATAAAAATAAGTCTGCTAATAACAGAGCGCAATTTGTACCAATGGAAATTCCAATAGATTGTTGGAATACCTGGTCTCCAAAAACCACATAGATATTGTCAATCAGAAACTCAAGCATCTTCTTGATGTCAACTTCAGAGTACTTATGTGTACAATCAGAATCTGTTTTAACAAAATAATTTTTCAAATGACCAATGACGAGGTAAGTAAACTTACGAGTTCCATTTTTGTTGAAGAAGCAGCTGTCAATGATATCAAAAAGCCTGGATTTTAATTTGTCGTGCGGAATTGTTGTGTATAAAGTTGAAAAGTCGTAAGTTTTTATGCTGTTGATTTTTGTAAAGTCTTGTGATTTCAAATTGTCCAAAAGTTCTTTAGAATTTTTAAGTATCCACATCTGATTTACACCACTTCTTGAATATATAGTTGCACAGTACTCTTGAAGTTTTTCCTTCACTACTGTCAATATTTTAGTGAGAAGTAACGAAAGAGGCTTAGTTGAACATTTACTGGAACCTGCAATGTATCTTTGTTTGTAAGGATTCTTATGAAGTTTCGGAATCCAATATATATATAAGGTAGTTCAAATTCATTTTGGCTCTGTGGAATATTAAAAGTATTCAAAACTGACAGGTGATTTTGAAGGATTTCTTCCTTAGAAAGAGTAGTATATGTATAAGTAGGATTACCACTCGTAGAATTAAATCCAAGTTCTTCTAAAATGCAATTAATATAATGAGCCTTACAAACGAAGACAATGTTGTTACCTGCTTTGTCGGCAGGAACCAGTACGTACTGATCGTGTAATCTATCTAATTCTTTTTTCACTTCTGGTTTATTGAACACAGAAGGATAGATGGTTTTCATTTTGCCCCTCAATCTTTTAATACGTGACTTTAACATGGATCTGATACATTTAATCCATTCTGACAAGGTGTCAATGTCTTCTTTTTCATATCTAGCCCATCGTCTGGCGTAATTTTCAACAGAATCCATAATATTTATGAAATTCTGACGCCAGTTGAAGGATCGGGGTTCCCTATATTTAGGACCTTTTAAAATAAGTGATTTAACGTCCTCATTTCGAACTATATTTACGTCACCTGTAATAACGTGTCCAGCAGGACTATAGTTATAGGGCGAAGAAGAACATGAACACGAAAGGGGATTATTTTTCAGAAAGTCGATATCCAGGCCATGTAAAGTATTTTTGTAATTGAAAAGTTTGGAAGCAATGGTCGATGTATATTTGTAGGAAATACAAGGCGTAGTCTTTAACTTGAAATATGGTGGAATATAAGACTGGACCCTTTTGTGATTAAGAATATTACTAATATTTACCGCGTCAATTCCTTTATTGGCATATTGAAGTTTAAGGAAAAGACGGATTGTTTTAGCTGCATTTTCTTCCGTGAAACGTGCGGGTTTAAAAAGCCTATGATGTGCAATATCCATAATCACAAAACCGAGCCTATATTCAGGTGTCGAGGAATCTAAATTTGGATGTTCCTTGGTCTTTTCAAGAAGACTATTTAAAAGTTTCAAAGGGACAGAGTAAAGTTTGGTTCGAATATGATGTAGACCTAACTGTTGATTTACATAAGGTAGTAATGAATCAAAAGAGACGTCGTGTATTGCAGGTTTATTGTACGAACGATGTCCATGACTACGTTTACGTCTCTGAGTATTGTTAAAAAGTCCCATCACATTTACATTATAACAATGTGGGCTTGTTAGATTTCCTACACTATCGACGTTGTCATTACATCCATAGGGAAAGGCTGTCCCTAGTTTCCTAATCCAAACTTCTTCACGTTGTCTACGGAAAGGTGTACTCAAAGATGGACTATTTGTGTGGTGATAAATCTTTTCTAGAATTCTAACTTTCATTGATAAAATAGAATGATCAGGTGAATTAAAATGTTTATATAAAAGCTGCTGACCACCATGATTTATTTGAAATCGATGACCTGATATTCTTTTGTTAAGCGAAAACAAGATAATATCTTGTGAAAACGACATAATATCTTGTGAAAACGAGATATCATCTTGTGAAAACGAGAAATCATCTTGTGAAAACGAGATAATATCTTGTGAAAACGAGATAATATCTTGTGAAAACGAGATATCGTTTTGTTAAAACAACATAATATCTTGTGAAAACTAGATATAATCTTGTGAAAACGACATAATATCTTGTGAAAACGAGATATTATCTTGTGAAAACGACATAATATCTTGTGAAATGAGATATTATCTTGTGAAAATGAGATATTATCTTGTGAAAACGAGATATTATCTTGTGAAAACGAGATAATATCTTGTGAAAACGACATAATATCTTATGAAAACGACATAATATCTTGTGAAAAAAACCTCATTCAAGGAGAGATAATTGGGAATTAAGAAAAATTTGATGGGATGTTTTAAAAATCTTCTTCTTAGGAACCATTGTGCCAGGAAAGATGAATCTTATGGGAAAACATCCTTAGGTAGTTTATATTCAAGTTTGTTCAAATCATGACCCCGGAGGTAGGGCGGGGCCAAAATGGCCGACCAACGTTTTACATAGAAATATATAGGAAAATTCTTTAAAAATCTTCTTCTCAAGAATAACAAAGCCATAATTCATCATATTTTAATGGAAGCATCCTCAGGTAGTGTAGATTCCATTTTCTTAGTCATGACCCCTGGCGGTAGGGAAGGGTCACAATGGTTGACCAAAGTTTTACTTAGAAATATATAGGAATTTTTTTAAAAAATCTTCTCAAGAATAGCAAAGCCATAATTGATCATATTCATATGGAAACATCCACAGGTTGTACAGATTCATGTTTGTTCAAATCATGACCCCTGGGGGTAGCAAAGGGCAACAATGGCCAACCAAAGTTTTACATAGAAATTTATAGGAAAATTCTCATCTTCTTAAGAATAGCAAAGCCATGACTGGTCATGGGACTACTTTGGGATTTAAACTTTTCAATAATAAACCAATTTGTATTTTTTCCTAGCCATAGTACTCAGGTAAGCGATGTGGCTCATGGGCCTCTTGTTTAATATTACGGGTTGGTATATTTTAAGGTAAGTCACTCCTCAAGTTTGTTATATCAAGGATTTTTTGAGAAGTATATTTTTGATAAGTACTCATAAAGTGTAATTCAAAATCACAAAGAAAAAAGGGGGTCAGTGTGCATCCTACGGATCTACGGTACATTTAAGTTGACCTTTTTGCACTTAAAATTCATATCTTTGGTTAATTACTTTAACCCTTATTATATTTGATTAGATATAAGCAAGGCAATAAATATAATCTTATTTTCCGTAAAATAGTTTGAATAATATTTAACATTAAATAAATCTTGCAAATTAATGCGCGTAAATTATTGTTTGACCTTTTTGCACTAAAATATAACATATTTTGGGTATTCAAAAACTTCATAGGCAATAAAATTTTTCTTATATCAAGCTTTTTACGACTTGAGTGCTGATCAGTCACAAGTATCGAGTAGTTTAAAATAATGAAAGAAAAAAGTATGGTCAGTGATGTTAATTTTGAAATATTTGTCAAAATATGTGATTTTCAGGCTAAAAATGGTGTAAATTTGACCTTGACTTTTTTCATTTATTTTCATTTTTTGGGAAAGTTTGTTGAGTAAAGGTGTAAAACTTAATATAAAAATATAAATTAAGACCTATATTAAATATTTTTAGCAATATCAAAACAGAAAATATTCTCCAAGTAAAAGTATGTGAGGCTAAATTTCAATTACATTAAAGTTTATAAATGTGCAGATTTGCAGAATTTTCTGCTAAATATCCTTCCACCAAAAGAAATAGTCCCTCATAAATTTTGCTTCTTTGTCGATTTTTGAGCAGTTTTTTCATTGAATGTTTAAAAATTTACATTGTTGAATATAAATATATCATAAAAATTGAATTTTGATTAGTAGTTTTGAAGTAAAAGCTTCTGCGCTAACTTTTTTAAAAAGCTGAGGAGTGAATTACCTTAAAGTCTTGACTATTTCCATGAATAATCTAAAATATTTCATACAATGACATTAGTTTTCAAGACATTGAAGTTATACAGAAAGATATAGTCATTGTACTGAGTTTATTTTGACAGGTCTCCCAGGATGTGCTGTTTAACTATGTAAAGCTAAAGAAGTGGAAGAAGTCACCATTTTGACAGGTTTAACTAATGCCTAAATTTAGTTTTTTAGCTCACCTGAGCCGAAGGCTCAAGTGAGCTTTTCTGATCACATTTTGTCTGGCGTCCGTCTGTCTGTAAACTTTTCACATTTTTGAATTCTTCTCAAGAACCATGGGGCCAATTTCAACAAAACTTGATACAAAGCATCCTTGGATGAAAAGTATTTATTCAAATTTGTTCAAATGAAAGGCCAAGCCCTCTTCCAAGGGGATATAATTATGAATTAGTGAAAAATTAATTGAATTTTTTAAAAATCTTCTTCTCCAAAACCATTGTGCCAGGAAAGATGAAACTCATTGTGAAACATCCTCATGTAGTGTAGACTCAAGTTTGTTCAAATGATGACCCCCGGGGGTAGGGCGGGGCCACAATGGCTGATCAAAGTGAAAGCATCCTCAGGTACTGTAGATTCAAGTTTGTTCAAATCATGACCCCCAGGTGTAGGGCGAGGCCACAATTGACGATTAAAGTTTTACATCGGAATGAATACATTGGAGAATCAAATTTTTGAAAACTCTTCTTTTTAAGAAGCCATGATTGGTCATATCTTTATGTAAGTATCCTTACGTAGTGTTGATTCAAGTTTGTTCAAGTCATGAATGTGAAGTAGGGGGTAGGTAGGGTGGGCCATTATTGGAAATTGTTTTCCCAAGAACAGAAAAGCAATGATTAATCATAGAAATATGGAGGCATCCTCAGGTAGTACAAAGTCATACTGGTTCAAATGAGGGCTACCATGGTTAGGGCTGGGCCACAGTTGGAGGGGAGTGGGTCAAATGAATAAATAGGGAAAAAAATCATATCCTTAAAAACAGTAAAGGCATTTTTTTGTATGGAAGCATCATTGGGTATTTGGTAGTTTAAAATTTCAGATCCCCCGTCTATAACTACTCAATGCTGAAGTGATTTCTGCTTTTATTTCCTAGCCATAGTGCTCAGGTGAGTGATGTGGCCAATGGGCCTCTTGTTTAATATTACGGGTTGGTATTTTAAAGACTCGACAAAATTCAAGTCTACATTTCCATGAATAATCTAAAATATACCATACAATAACATTAGTTTTCAAGACATTGAAGCTACCCTCACAAAAAAATACTATAGTTAACTATAGTTAACTATAGTTTACTATAGTAAATCAAAGTGTCAAAGTTTTCGTCAAAGTTTTTCAAAGTGTCAAAGTTTTCGCCAAAGTTTTTCAAAGTATCAAAATTTTTCGCCAAAGTTTTTCAAAGTGTCAAAGTTTTCGCCAAAGTTTTTCAAAGTATCAAAGTTTTCGCCAAAGTTTTTCAAAGTGTCAAAGTTTTCGTCAAAGTTTTTCAAAGTATCAAAGTTTTCGCCAAAGTTTTTCAAAGTGTCAAAGTTTTGGCCAAAGTTTTTCAAAGTATCAAAGTTTTCGCCAAAGTTTTTCAAAGTGTCAAAGTTTTCGTCAAAGTTTTTCAAAGTATCAAAGTTTTCGCCAAAGTTTTTCAACGTGTCAAAGTTTTCGCCAAAGTTTTTCAAAGTATCAAAGTTTTTGCCAAAGTTTTTCAAAGTGTCAAAGTTTTCGCCAAAGTTTTTCAAAGTATCAAAGTTTTCGCCAAAGTTTTTCAAAGTGTCAAAGTTTTCGCCAAAGTTTTTCAACGTGTCAAAGTTTTCGCCAAAGTTTTTCAAAGTGTCAAAGTTTTCGCCAAAGTTTTTCAAGGTGTCAAAGTTTTTCGCTAAAGTTTTTCAAAGTTTCAAAGTTTTCGATAAAGGTTTTCAAAGTGTTATAAATATCCAGGTTTTCGACAAAGTTTTTCAAGTGTTAAATTTTTTGATAAAGTTTTTAAAGTATCCAAGTTTTCGATTATGTTTTTCGAAGTATCCAAGTTTTCGATGAAGTTTTCAAAGTGTCAAAGTTTTCGATAAAGTTTTTCAAAGTTTTAAAGCATCCAAGTTTTCAATAAAGTTTTTTGAAGTATCCAAGTTTACGATAAAAGTTTTCGAAGTATCAAAAATTTCTATGAAGTGTTTCGAAGTATCAAAGTTTTCGATAAAGTTTTTCAAAGTGTCAAATTTTTCGATTAAGTTTTTTGAAGTATCAAAAATTTCGATAAAGTTTCTCGAAGTGTCAAAGTTTACGCAAAAGTTTTTCAAAGTGTCAAAGTTTTCGCCAAAGTTTTTCAAAGTGTCAAAGTTTTCGCCAAAGTTTTTCAAAGTATCAAAGTTTTCGCCAAAGTTTTTCAAAGTATCAAAGTTTTCGCCAAAGTTTTTCAAAGTGTCAAAGTTTTCGCCAAAGTTTTTCAAAGTGTCAAAGTTTTCGCCAAAGTTTTTCAAAGTGTCAAAGTTTTCGCCAAAGTTTTTCAAAGTGTCAAAGTTTTCGTCAAAGTTTTTCAAAGTGTCAAAGTTTTCTCCAAAGTTTTTCAAAGTGTCAAAGTTTTCGCCAAAGTTTTTCAAAGTGTCAAAGATTTCGCCAAAGTTTTTCAAAGTGTCAAAGATTTCGTCAAAGTTTTTCAAAGTGTCAAAGTTTTCGTCAAAGTTTTTCAAAGTGTCAAAGTTATCACTATAGTAAATCAAAGTTTTCAAAGTGTCAAAGTTATCACTATAGTTAACTATAGTAAACTATAGTTAACTATAGTTAACTATAGTATTTTTTTGTTAGGGTATACAGAAATAATTACTCATTGTACTGTGTTTATTTTGACAGGTCTCCCAGGATGTGCTGTTTATCTATCTAAAGCTAAAGAAGAGGAAGAAATCACCATTTTGACAGGTTTAACTAATGCCTAAATTAATTTTTTTAGCTCACCTGAGCCAAAGGCTCAAGTGAGCTTTTCTGATCATATTTTTTCAAGCGTCCGTCTGTCTGTAAACTTTTCACATTTTTGACTTCTTTTTAAGAACCACTGGGCCAATTTCAACCAAACTTGGCACACTGTATCCTTGGATGAAGGGGATTCAAATATGTTCAAATGAAAGGCCAAGTCCTTTTTCAAGGGGAGATAATTATAAATTAGCAAAAAATTAACTGCATCTTTTAAAAATCTTCTCTTCAAAACCATTGTGCCAGGAAAGATGAAATTCATGTTGAAACATCCTCATGAAGTGTAAACTCAAGTTTGTTCAAATGATAACCCCCGGGGGTAGGGTGGGGCCACAATGGCTGATCAAAGTGATAGCATCCTCAGGTAGTGTAGATTCAAATTTGTTCAAATCATGACCCCCAGGTGTAGGTCTATGCCACAATTGGAGATGGAAGTTTTACATCGGAATGAATACATTGGAAAATCAAATTTTTGAAAACTCTTCTTTTTAAGAACTATAAAGCCATGATTGGTCATATCTTTATGTAAGCATCCTTACGTAGTGTTGATTCAAGTTTGTTCAAGTCATGAATGTGAAGTAGGGGGTAGGTAGGGTGGGCCACTATTGGAATTCTATAAATATCAAGGATCTTTTTTTTCCCAAGAACAGAAAAGCAATCTTTAGTCATATTGATATGGAGTTGTCCTCAGGTAGTAAAAAGTCATACTGGTTCAAATGAGGGCTACTACGGTTAGGGCTTGGCCACAATGGGGGGGGGGGTCAAAAATGAATAAATAGGGAAAAATCATCTGCTCAAAAACAGTAAAGGCATTTGTTGTATGGAAGCATCATCGGGTATTTGGTAGTTTAAAATTTCAGAACACCCCCTTCCCCCCCATCTAAACTACTCTATTCTGAAGTGATTTCTGCTTTTATTTATTAGCCAGTGTGCACAGGTGAGCAATGTGGTCCATGGGTCTCTTGTTATAACTGTGTTAAAATATACAGTCATGATAACTATCTATAGAGTCTCATAGTTCCCGTAGAACTTTCATATCTAACACTCTATTATAATAACTATGAATTAGTAATGGTAGGAATGCAGATTTTATCATGACTTTTCTTTTGTAAAGACAGAATATTGTAAATACAATATCATAGCAAGTCAGGTTTTAAATGAATTTATGTTAACATCTATAAAAACATAAATTGTTTTCCAGTATGTCACAATTTATATGTGTTTTAATTATAACTAATGCTTTAAAATATTGCTTTGTTAGACAGGTTTTATTGAGAACATTTAGAGGCCGCTATGAATGAAGACAAAGCATTGAGAAGCCAGTGTCAAGGTATTTATGTTTATCTGTTCATTCTATTTAATTGTTTAACACAGTATAAGTACTTACAACCAAAACATTTTACAATGAGTACATTTATCATTATAAAGAGAGTCCTGTTATTGATGTAGATAATTCTAGAACAATGTTGTAATTGACAGAGAGATCTCCCTGACTGAAATCCACACAGGATATTATAAAGTCACAGGAAATACAAGTCTGGTGTCAGTCATGTATAGATTGATATTACAGAAATCTGTCACCGTGTCTGGGGTTAGTGGGTGTTATCACATTACCCACGTGTCTACAGACCGGGCCTGGATCTGTGATAGAGAAGGCAATCTCATCTTAACTAACACGACAGGAGACACACTAGATCAAGTGACGGATTTAGCTAAATATGGTGATGGAGTACATACTGTGACTCAAAATGGTGCTGTGATTTATGTAGACAGTCACCTTAACATCATAAAACGATCTAAAGATAAAGTAAAGACGACACTGATACCAAACACATCACCATGGAGACCAGTGTGTGTCTACAGCTCCCCCTCCACTGGAGACCTACTGGTCGGGATGTCTTATACTGATACAAGGACAGGCAAGGTAAAGCGTTACACCAACACAGGACAACACATACAGACCATACCGCACGACAACACAGGTCAGGAACTGTGTAGATATCCTGGATACATCACAGAGAACCACAATGGAGATGTTATTGTGTCTGACTGGGGCCGTGGTGCTGTAGTGGTGACAGACAGTAGAGGGAGACATCGGTTCTCCTACAGACGTACTCCATCAGGATCATGGCTAACACCACGTGGAATCTGTACTGACGCGCTGTCACACATCCTGGTGTGTGATCCTAACACCCACACAGTACATATCATTGACAAAGATGGTAACTACATGACAGAGATAGATACAGAACAACACGGGATAAACAGACCATTCGGCCTGAGTTATGATGACTTCACCCGCTCTGTCTGGGTAGGATCATACAACACCAACACAGTGAACATCTACCGACTTATCTATGGAGGGGAGGATCTGACTGGTAAGTTATACTGAAGTATTACTATATGTTTGTTTACAATGTTTAGTGTGTATAATATAGTATAGTCATTGTTTTATGTGTAATTACAAGACATTAACCAGGAACTATCATAGTGATAACTTTTAAGTGTAAATACATTACATGGTTAATTAAATTCTAACTTATGTTATGTAACAAGAAAAGTTTTTAAAAAAAAGGATATTAATTGATAAGTTGTCAAATTAATAATGATTTGATTTTTAGATTAGATTTAATTAGACATTATTAGAGTTATTTTAATATGTACTTAGTTGTTAACTTTGTTGTCTGTGACAAACAATTCCTGAATTTGTACAGACTGTATAAAGATTTGTTAACATGGTTAAATAACTCTCATTGATTCTGTCTTCTATTTGAGTTAACATTATATTTTTATATTCCTCTGCTAAATGGTTTGTAGGTTAAATTCATAGATCACTACAAATGTCAGGAAATTGAAAAATAATTGTACAATTGGGGTTCATGAGTGTTGAGGGGGGGGGAGGGGGTAATGTCATAGACCTTATCAGTGGATAATATATACTTTGAATACGTCATTCAATGTGTTAAAACAAAGATTAATCACAGTGACTGCAAACATTTTGTACAGTACTGACAGTTAGATATAGACACCATTGATCATGTTGATATTAACACAGCTTTGTCTAGGAATGTTGTGTATTTCTGTAGCAGGTGTTCAGTAAATCTACACTGTGTACTGGGGTGACATTGATATTAACACAGCTCTGTCTAGGAATGTTGTGTATTTCTGTAGCAGGTGTTCAGTAAATCTACACTGTGTACTGGGGTGACATTGATATTAACACAGCTTTGTCTAGAAATGTTGTGTATTTCTGTAGCAGGTGTTCAGTAAATCTACACTGTGTACTGGGGTGACATTCTACATGTATATTACATGGAGATTTTATGGTTAAAATGAAACCAATGCCAGAATTATAGTCATATCAGTGTACCCTCCCACCCCCAAATTCACCACAAACACACACACTCACCCTCTCCCTCCCTCACACACACAATTTTTGGGGGGTAGGTTTGGGTGGGAAGGAGGTGTCACACGGTGTCTCACTTTATCATGCTATTTAATCTTTTTCTTTTAAGTACTGTTTTAGTGAAAAAACCCTTTTTGTTCTGTATTTACACAATGCATTATGTTAAAAAGTGAATAATTCTCAGGAACAAATATGAAAGAAAACAAGCAAATGTGATGTGATGTGGCCCCAAGGCCTCTTGTTAAAACTTCTTAAGGTTGATAATATGACGCAGTTAGTTTTTAGCTCACCTGAGCCGAAAGCTCAAGTGAGCTTTTCTGATCACATTTTATCCGGCGTCCGTCTGACTGTCTGTCCGTCTGTCTGTAAACTTTTCACATTTTCGACTTTTCTCAAGAACCGCTGGGCCAATTTCAACCAAACTTGCCACAAAGTATCCTTAGGTGAAGGGGATTCAGGTTTGTTCAAATGAAGGGCCACGCCCTCATTCAAGGGGAGATAATTTGGAATTAATGAAAATTTGGTGGCATATTTAAAAAAATCTTCTTCTCAAGAACCACTGTGCCAGGAAAGATGAAACTTATGGGAAAACATCTTCAGGTAGTGTAGATTGAAGTTTGTACAAATCATGACCCCGGGGGTAGGGCGGGGCCAACATGGCCGACCAAAGTGTTACATAGAAATATATAGGAAAATTCTTGAAAAATCTTCTTCTCAAGAATGACAAAGCCATAATTCATCATATTTATATGGACGCATGTTCAGGAAGTGTAAATTCAAGTTTGTTCCAATCATGACCCCCGGGGGTAGGGCGGGGCCAAAATAGCCGACCAAAGTTTTATGTAGAAATTGTATATATAGGAAAATTCTTTTTAAATTTTCTTCTCAAGAATGACTAAGCCATAATTCATCATATTTATGTGGAAGCATGCTCATGTAGTGTTATGTAGTGTAGATTCAAGTTTGTTCAAATCATGACCCCCGAGGGTAGGGCGGGGCAAAAATGGACGACAAAGTTTAGCATAGAAATATAGGAAAAATCTTTAAAAATCTTCTTCTCAAGATTGACAAAGCCATAATTCATCATATTTATATGGAAGCATGCTGAGGTAGTGTAGATTTAAGTTTGTTCAAATCATGACCCCTGGAGGTAGGGCGGGGCCAAAATAACTGACCAAAGTTTTACATAGAAATATAGGAAAATTCTAATAAAATCTTCTTCTCAAGAATGACAAAGCTATAATTCATCATATTTATATGGATGCATGCTGAGGTAGTGTAGATTCAAATTTGTTCAAAACATGACCCCTGGGGATAGGTGTATAGCTCAATAACAAATTAAACCATCTGTTGTAACGATTTATTCCAATGTTTCAACCTGAAATTATAATTAAAACAAAATATAATCACATTATGATGATAACGTCGTTCCGTAGATTTTTCAGAACAGCGTGGGTAATACTGAATGCCACTGTATAGTTTTACAACACAATAATTACAATTCTATATATAACAATTAGTCCGTACTTCGCGTAAGTCACAAAAACATTGTCTACTCACACATTGATGGATCCAAAATTAATATTACTGAGCTATAATGTCACAAACACAGGATTGTCTATCCACGAGGTAAACAAAACAAACTTCCGTTGACTGTAAACAATGAAAAATAATGTCCGACTCTAAAAGTTCCGGAATATCGTTAACGATACACTCCCCCCGACGTTTCTTGACAAGTTTACAACTAATCACATTCATCCACTGGTAGTATAACTACAAGTCTATGAACAGATCTGCGAATGACAGTGTCAGTACACCCATGATACTTTGCACCTGGTCCCACGTTCTTTATCGCACTGTGACGTCTCGTACCTTTCCGTCTGTTCCAGGCTCTGCCTCGGCAACTTGAGCAAGTTTCCACTTTCCACGAATTAGATTTGTATCCTGAACTAATACAAGATCACCCTGCTTCAGATTTCTCCTGCTTGTATGCCACTTCTGTCTCACAATAAGAGTGGGAAAGTAATCTCTGATCCATCTTTTCCAAAAGGTATCAACCAGCTGTTGAATGAATTTCCATCTCAACCGTGGATTGCAACGTTCTTCCATTTGCATCTGAGGAACCCGAACAGTGGATCTCCCTAACAGCAAGTCATTCGGGCATAAGTATGTTCCTTCGTTTGGGTCACACACCTTTGTCCCGATAGGTCTCTCATTTATTAAATTAGCAGCTTCAAACAACACAGTTTGCAATTCTGAAAACGTCAAAATTGAATCTCCAACAGCAATTTGCAGACATCTCTTTACAGACTTGATTAAGGATTCACTGCAGCCGTTTTCCCATGGAGCGTCCGCAGATTTGATGACGTTCCATTCTACTTCAAACTTATCCAATTCCTTGCCTGCAGCTACTAGCTGTGTGCCTGCATCAGAAATCATTCGCTTTGGATTGCCACGAAGTGATACAAATCTCCTGAATACAACAAGGAAACTTCCTGTGTCGTAACCTTCCGCCAAATCTATGTACACACCCCTGCAATTGAGGCAGTTAAACAATACCCCATATGCCTTTCCATGTGTTCGTCTTTTGACTGTGTCACGTATGGTATATGGTCCAAACATATCAACGGCACAATTGTAAAATGGAGGTGCTGGATTCAGTCGGAATGAAGGTAAAACACCCATCTGTTGTTGTATTGTTACTTTATCCCGCTTTCTGCACACAACACAGTTATCCTTGACTCGTCTAATGATTTTTCGAACTCCGGGAATCCAATATCTGCTTCTGATTTTTGCTAACGTCACCTCCAATCCTGCATGATCTTCACCATGAACACTGCGCACAACTAACTCTGTAAACCGACCCTTTCTTGGCAGCAAAAAGAATTCTCTCTGGTTCCATGATTGTTTGATCCATTCAGCCATGCGCTGTCCAACGCAAATAATCCCATCTTGATCGATGAATGGCCCAAGTCTTTGAAACTTCTTCATGCAATCATCTGGTAAGTTTTCCTGTGCATGCTTAACCCAACTTCTTTCTGCTTCAACAGATGTCCCTGAAGAGATCTTGCTACAAATACCTCTAAATGTTTTCCATTTCACAATGGCTAGAACAATGCTGGTAACTCGAAGAAGCTTCTTCAGACTGGCAAACCGCTCTATGTCTATAACAGCACATCCATGGGAAGAACGATTCTCAGAAGTGATTGACATCGTCACCCCAATAATATCAGGTATCTGATCGCTGTCTATTGTATTTTCTTGACTTATTGGCCAAAGTTCAAATGGATTTCTCAGAAAATCTGGCCCGTTTTGCCACTTAGAATCAGTCCCTAAAGCACTTGCTACTGCAACCCTTGTAGTCATGTCGGCAGGGTTCTGATCTCCTTGAACCCACCACCACTCAGTGGGATCAGATGTGCTTTGTATTTCAGCAACACGTGTTGCCACAAATGTCCAAAAGCCATAACTCTCTCGCTGTATTTGTGCTCTTACAATCATGGAGTCGACAATATGCACAATCTTACTGAATTTGAAATTCATTTCTGTTACTAGTTTTTGACGCAGCCTAGACGCAAGCACTGCTCCGCAGAGTTCAAGACGAGGGGTAGACAACTGCTTTGCTGGTGCAATTCGATTCTTTGCAATCACTAGGCTCGATGTGTATTTGTCATCTTTGGTATGCCATCTGATATAGGCACATGCACCGTAGGCTTGCTGACTTCCATCCGAAAATATGACAAGCATTGGATCACCTTCAGTGTTTTCCGGCATAAGGCATCTTTTGAATGTTAAATTCTGCAAATCATAAAGTCCTGTAAAGAACTTAACCCACTTGGCCCTCATATCTTCACTCATAGGCTCATCCCATCCAATTTCATTTTCTTTGGAACACATGGTCCTCATAAGAATTTTTGCAGACAATACATATGGAGCAACCAGTCCAAGAGGATCATATATGCCTTCAACCTG